TCCTAACATTTATCTCCACGAGTCTATTTATCTCAACGTGAAGGAACAAACAAACATATTCTCATTATGCAATTCGAAAACCTACGGATACCTTTATTCGTAATAGCCCTTAATGTAGCAGAACGCGTCGGTACCCAGTAATTGTCATGGTATTTGCGATTCTGAAAGGCAGTTTGCTCGTCCATTCTATAGCTGTCCCTTGCAAAATTAATTCTACTACCCAATAAAAGTGTAGCAGTCTTTATTGAGCCATTCGACTGAGCGAAAACGACAAATGGCTTCACTGAGGGACCGTTTGTTCTCAATTTTCTGGAAAACCTGCAATAGCAATGACGTTAAATGTTCTAGATGTAGAGTACTTTTAATTTAAAACTGAACTGAATAAGAATTGAACCAAATGAATGCAAAGGAATTAATTGAACATTTGAAATGTTTTTTTAACGATCTTGCGGTTCACCTCATGGCATCGCCCATGAACACTTGCAACACCAGGGGAGTTATAAGTACATCACAGACTTTTTGAAGTGGGATTGGGTCTATGAGTTTATATGATTATGTTCTGATGATAAAACGAAAATGCGATCATCACTCCATTGATTCAATAATCTGTTGAGTTATAGTTATATTTTGGAGTTAGCGTGTCAGAAGCATAGCGCGGTTTGGTATTATAGGTATGTTCAGTCACAATGAATAATGTACCTAATTATAATGGCAGCTTGAAATAAATTAGCTTTCCCAGAGTCAAATGTTATGCCTCATAATCGATATCAATCGTTCTTCATAATTTAAGTGACAGTGATTGAAAGCGTTACATTCAGACATTCGAATTGGATTTACATTTTACGTCTATGATCGAGAATTATTATTGGAAATAAGTATCTGTTTTAAAAATTATCTTGCAATATGATATCGATTTTTCAATGAATATAAATATACTATTTCAGTTTATATTTGCCTTTGTTCGAGTTCATTACCTACTTAGAATTTTTCGTTTTGACTAGTTCAACTCGGGATTGAACTATAGACTTCGTATCAAGACTCAATGAATTCATTCATTCATTCCTTTAGCTAGAGTTGAAATTTTCATTTGTAATCAGACATCTTTGTGCCTCTATCTACTTAGTTTACCCACAGTAATAGACTAAAGGTCTGGTAAGGGCCCCAAAATTGCGAAGTCACTGCGGTTTTTCAATTCATTCGGGAAAGCGGAAGACAAAGCTTGATTGTGAGACACAAGTGGAACTAAATTAAATTGTTTCAACAGTCATGCTACGGTAATGATATAAAGCAATTCTATTTGACATTTTCCGATTATAGAATGAACGTTTCCAACATTACCTACGTAGAACCTAAATACTTGTTTCTAGATCATAGCCCTTCGGCGATGGCGACCTCTCGCGTCCGGGCCTAGTGCAGGCCATGATGCGGAGCGAGGGGGACTGGGATGCCGTCTCCTCCTTTTGCGAAGCAGTCATGCTAGCTAAGGAGGAGGCGGGACGCGTGAGGCAGCGAAGCGCTGCCTCCTCGCGACCCAGCCATCGCGAAGGACACACCGGGCGTCGGGGATCGCGGGACGATCTCCGGCCACCGTAAGCGCGGGCCTGCGGACGGCGAGCATGGGTGGCTCCCCGTCCGACCAGAAACAGACCCGAGCGTACGGCGCGTCGCGTTCCGCGCGCGCCTCAAAGAGCCATCAGACCACCACAGATGGGGCCCAATAGGGCCGATGCCGATTCGGAGTCGCGGAGAACCTAACGGGTAACCGGGGCTCCGGCTCGACGTGCAGGAGAAGGAACGGGGTGGTTTTTAGTCAGTAAGAGTCTGACACTCCCTTCCGCCTCACCCAGGCGGGAGCAGTCATTCGATGATTTTCCCCCCTTAAAAAAAAAAAAAAAAAAAGATCATAGCCCCAATTTGTTTAGATAATACTTTATGTACACTCAAAAGGTACATTATGACTTAAAGTCGTTGGTATTTTCTTCCAATAAACCCCAATGAATGAATGGATATCAGAACTTACCTAATTGATGTTATAGCAGTAGTAATAAACGTTTCGAACTATAAAATAAGCATAAAGTCTTTTAGTGATTGCGAGTTTTCTCTCCCGCTTAATCTATGATAGTTAATTTACAGATGACACTACTGGTCGTAGAAAGCTGAAATATGGCATAATGTCCCGAGTGAATAGGTTGTTCATAGGTAGGCGTGCTCTATCGTTGACCACTTCATCGTTTACCACCAGGTGAGATGGTGTCCAAAAGCCATCGTATTAAATAAAATACACATCACATGACAAGTTTTAACTTGAGTATTGAAAACATCAGGTTTGGGAGTAGGCGAATTGGGGATAAGTATTTTTGTAAAATTGCGATGATGTAGAAAATTGAAACATTTATGTTTTAGAGAGTATTCGAATTTATACAGAAACGCAAATACGAGTACTTTCGCCTACTATTAGAGTAAGAACGGAAATCACAAAATTCTCGTGAGTACCTACAAAATTTCCGTTTGTAAGTTATTATTTTATGACTTAGATTAATGTATTCGACAATAGTGCCTAAGTACCTACTGCCACAGTCCATGGAGAAACGAAATGAAAAATACTTATAATATCGCATTATGTTAGTGATAACTAATTTTATTTGGCGCGTCTAACTATCTAAATTATCTGAAGACAGACGTGTTTATTAAATTACTGCGCCATGCCAATGCACTTGTAGCGTGTGTAGTGATTTAATTAATTGAGTAGGTACATCACGGTATCGATAAATGATTACACAAAATAAGGCGTCTGCCAAGAAAAATATAATCGCGATTGTTCTAAGAATTATATTACGAGTAGCATTTAGTATTAGAGGTAGAGGTAACCTTCACCATTAGCCTGAAAACGATAACTGCTGAACAAAGACTTTTTTTAAATAGCCGGTTTACCGTAATCCCTTTTTTTAAGGAGTAAAATCGTCGAATAACTTCTCCCGCCTGGGTGAGGCGGGAGGGAGTATCAGGTTCTTACTGACTAAAAACCACCCCGTTCCTTCTTCTGCACTTCGAGCCGGAGCCCCGGTAACCCGTTAAGTTCTTCGCGGCTCGGTATCGGCATCACCCCTTACCATAATCCTTGAGATACGGTAAAACCGTCGAATCTTTAAGGAAATAACGTATTCCTTTTTAAAAGGCCGGCAACGCTCCTGTGACTCCTCTGGTATTGCAGATGTTCATGGGCGGTACTGATCGCTTACCATCGATGATCCATCTGCTCGTTCGTCTCGTATGTCATAAAAGATTCCCGAGCCTAATAGGCGGATTGGGGATTACAAGCAAATACCTTTATAGTACTTATACATAATATCTAATACTGATGAGACTTTTCAAAACTTAATAGTGTGGGCTGATCTGGGAATCGAATTAAAGTCTTCAGTAGTCGTACTTGCAAACATTCCACCAACAAACACGTCAACGTAAGTTTTAAGCTAATAAATCAAATATTTCACTTAAGATAAGAACCATTATTATTGTACAATGTTCGTTCGTACTCATTAAGTAAACTTGTAGGTAGTTATTCGTACTCAAGTTTACTGAGGGTAAACCTGTTTTGCAGAGGTGTTGAACTTTGTTTTAAAGTTATCTAATCAGCAGATTTAAATAAAGGAAAGTAAACACTCGCAGAATACGAAGGTCGGGAGCGAAACGTAGCCAATATTCTGACCGAGATCACCGAAACTTTGCTGATTTCACTTTGTTTTGTATTATTCGTTTTCATTTAAAATTCATTGTTATTGTTTCCTATAATTGTTATCTGTAATCTGTGTAGTATTATAATTTACAATTTGCTTCTTAAACATAACATAACATCACGCCTTTTATCCCCGAAGGGGTGGCAGAGGCACATTACGGCACTTAATGCCGCTGTACAATGTAACACCCACTTTTCACTATTTATGTTACGAGTCCCATGTAATAGGGGGTGTGTCGATTGCCATAAATATACCGGGCACAATTCCAGACTCCGTGTTACTACTGAGTTTTTTGAAAAACCTAGTAATACTTTGCCCGACCCGGGAATCGAACCCGAGACCCCTTGCCCGACAGTCGCACTCGCGACCACTCGATCAAAGAGGCAGTTTTTGCTTCTTACTTAATCTGAATTAGAAAGTCGTTCCTAGTATCTACTGGGTAGTTAAAAATACCACAATCCAATCTATTATACATTATATTTTATTATAAATTTAAATTAAATCATGTTCCAGATTTTATCTTGCCAAAAATGTCTATTCAGGAAAACATAAACTCAGCAAGAAGTGAAGTTTTTATGCTTAGTAGCATTTAGAGGTACATTCAACTGATAAATGAGGCAGTAACTATCCGTAGTACCTATACGTATGTAATAAAATCAATTCGACTGGACTTGTTACAGAACTCGTCTTCTATTCACCATTGCCAAGGTCTAGTATCTGTGTCGGATGGTAGGGGCGTGTCAATATAATGTCGATAACATTGCTTGATAAATTGCCATTACCCGAATATATCACTCGAGATCACTGCGACCCTTTGCAATAGATACAATTGTTTCCCAATACTACTACTTCTTAAGTAGCTATTAAATGGAGTTATAGTATTCGGATACTATTGTGTTCAGCTGTTTATAACATGTTATGAATATCACCATCAATATCGCATTGTGTTAGGAAGGGGATTTGAGAAATAATTTTGATTTAATATTGTTTTTGAGTACGGCCATGTCACAAGTGACTTTAACAGGACACAGTCATGATTATTTTCCAAGACTGATATAGCCATCAACATACAAAAAAAAAATTTTTTTTCAGTGCTTCAAAGTAGGTAAGTGATTTGTAAGGGTATCCCCTTGGGAGACACTAGGGAGAATCATTGGGGAAGGATTAGTAAAGTACGAAGATGGATCACACCATCAATTATGTTGGGTAACTCTGGTTAGTGATGCTATTCAAAGATGTCAAAATGAATACGAAAACGTTTAACAGATTCATGTTATCTTGGTGCAGGCGAGGTGATGGACTTGATGGCGCTGGTGGGGTCTGCAGTGAACTTCGTGCTGTACTGCAGCATGAGCCGGCAGTTCCGCTCCACGTTCACGAGGCTGGCGCGGAAGGTGTTGCCGCTGGGCACGCAAGGCGAGCCAGTCACCGCGCTGAAGGCGTAGCGCTCCCGAAACGCGACCACTTCGGTCGCGTACCTATGAACTATTCACGAGGTACCAAACCTTACACGAACACACGTAAACACGGCCCATTGAATTCTCTCAACAAACTCTTTAACAATCGTTTGAATAACAAAACGAATTACATTAAATTCAAGTTTGTTTTAGACTTATTAAGTGAATGAAGTGTGGAGGCGGATTTACTCTATAACAATGGAAACGAACTTTTTTAATTTTGTAAGTAAAAGTTAAAGCGGTGCTTACTGTTCAACATGTTTTAGTAATTAGTTACTAGAGATTAAAGCTACGAACCAAATTGTTTAATGTTTATATAAACTTAGTTATGTTTAAGCATTATTGTACAGTTACCAGTAAGTTTAATGGAGGTTATACTTAGTGTACTTTTTGTCTAAATTAAGGATAGATCCGAACATCAAATGTGTTGGTAACCTTGTTTGGATGTATCCAGACAGTTTGTTTATTGTTTTATCCGTGTTTGTTCTAAGAGAAATGTAGGAGTGTTTGTTGTTAGTAGATACATTACATGAATTAATGAGCTCTCAAGAACTAAGAATAAGAGAGCTTAAAAAGGTGTATAAGTAGATAGATTAGTAAAAATAATCGAAGGTTTAGATAATTTACGAAATTTTCCGATATATAGAATTTGCATGAAAAGCAACATAATTATAATTACGTAGGAGTACTCTAACCCTCTTACTCATAAACGTGACATTCATAAACCCTTTATAAATACAACTTGTCAATTCTGCTGTTAGACTGGTGTGTTCGACGCCCTTTTAGATTTAGGAACTTAAGGCGTTTTGAGTAAGAGGGTAAAATATTTTAAAACTAGTCATTTTAAATTGTTAATTGTTATGTTATTTATAGTGTTACATTTTGATACTTTATTGTCTTGGCTTACAACGGCTTCAAAGTAAATAGAGACTACGTTTTATTAAAGGTTAACACACAAAGCTACAAATAGGAAACTATTTTAATTAGTTCTACATTGCTCAAGCTTTCCGCCCTTTAGGCATTCAACAAAGAAGTAAAAGAACCTTCGTATAGTGCTGGCAATCTGTTGGTAATTACCTACGTTGATGTTTCTTTGTAAACTATTTTAATTCTACTAAGATGTTTGCTTCAATTGAAAAATGTTTAAACGTAAAATTCTCTTCTCATCACTTTCATTTTCAAAGTAAAAGAGGTTTAAATAGATATTTCTAGAAAGACTAGATTTCTGCAAGCCATTCACGTAATTTTATTAGGTACAACAGAACATAGACAGATATAAACTTTATTACACTGTTTCATGTTTATAAATTGTGCTAAATTCAAGCAGAGCGTTTGAACAATGATTTCAATTGGTTATGTTCTCTGAAATCAAATTAGTTATGCTGTTATGATTTCCAACTAATTGGTACAGCGTTTAAATACATCAAATGGAATATTGAAAGAACTTGTGCGTTATTCGATATACAGTTAGTATCAATCATAAATACGTTTCTAAGTAAAGCTAAATAAATTATAGCGAACGTAATTACGGATTGTTCCATGTTTTCTGGTCACGTCTCCGCGCCTCGGAAGCTATAATGAAATAGAGCCCAAAAGTTTACGGGATTAATATCATATTACCTCCCAGAAGTATTCTTGGAACGCTAAAACAATTTGGTAAAATGTATTTAAAAGAAAAAAGCACGGGACATTAGACAAGAACTGAATTATTTAGTTGTACAATGCTTGTGGAGCACTCACGAACACTTGTGTTTCGAATAACGTCTGTGAAAATATTTAGTAACATGCCGTGGCGCTTGGTAAAACAGCTAAACAATGTAAACACTCATTTCTACGAGTAATATTGTTTTCCGCAGACTTGAGCAATGCTCATACTCGTCGTAAACGTATCTGTGCGACCGTACGGTTGAATTATTAACTTTTCCGAAATTCGCGTAGAAATAACCGAGAACCTTGGCAAAACATTTATTTCCACAATCAAAACAATGTTCATATCCTGTATCATGTATGACATAAGTACAAAGCCACTATTGTAGTTAAGCCACGTATTACAAGTTTTTTCAAAGACGGGTTTTCATTGTAAACAGCCGAGGGCGGGGTACATTCGACCTTCGTCCTCTTGGTAGGATTCCAGAATGAATTAATAAGGGCTCGGCCTGCTGTTTGAGTTCACGGGAAGACCCCAAAAGGTACTTTGCCGATATATTGTTCGAAGTGGATCTAATCGAGTGCGATCTAAAGGGTTGACCCAATTGACTACAAAAAAGTTATTTGATGTGACCTATCCAATCTTGGTACAACTTATATTGCGGAAGTAGTTACGTTACCCAGTACATTTACTAAGGAACCTCACATTATGTGTGTATTCGCAAGCTAATAATAATTTTCAACGAATAGGGTATCGTGTCGTATTTGAATTCTTATCGTTAGACAACTTGTGAGCGAAAGATAGTTTCTAAATTAATATTCATAAGAACTTGTTACCTGAACTAAATGTGGATCAAACTAAGATAAAACAGTAGTGTTACGAACTCGGCTGAAGTTTCATTAATTTCAACTTGAAGTTTATACTTGAGAGGCTTCTAACTTGCGTTCTTCTACTTCTATGTAATAATGTAAAGATGTAACGTAAACATCAATCGTTAAAGTATTTATTTTCGGGAGTTTATGTGAAAATATTATGAGTTTACTTTATGTTTGCAATCTCGTTTAATGTGTCTACGTAAAATAATTATGAGCACACGTTTACTTTTATAAACTTGGAAAATAAATATTAAATTATTCTTTAATGAAAAAAAATCTAAATATAAGTATTTTCTTCTGTCAATGAATATACAAGATAATTGTGATGAATAGGATAGTGATCCATCAGGTGTAGATACCTAGTGTAAAGAAAAAGAATTTTCAAAGTGTTTATTTTTGTAAATAATATGTCTATCTGTCTTCACCTAATGTACCTATGTATTGCAATTTATGTATCTGTTGAACTAAGGTCAATGTTTTCTTAGGTAGTCAATTTCTAATCAAAAACATTGTACATACTTTGTATATGTGAATGAGACGTATTAGTGAAATATAATAGAGAGTAGACAAGTAATCTTTGTGTATAAGATTTTTTACCAAACTTTGTTAAGGTGATAATAGCTGTTTGTTATTTTGTCCAATAATATGTATTATATAGGAATATCTATTGTTTTTTTAATGCTATGTGATTAAGCAGTGTGACACACCTCCCCCGAACGTGAAAATGATGCAAACCGCTTCGTGTGATCGGCGATAAGTTTTAACACTTCTCCCCTAGGGCATCCGTCCCGAATTTCGACAGTTTGTGAACCGCATTTAATGTATATACGATATATGTATGTATTCCACAAATACCCGTACGATGGAAAATTGAGAATCTGTAATACAAAATCAATGCTTTCTGTGTATCTATCTATCGCTGTGGTGAACATCACAAGATTACTTTTAGAAAATTGGATTTCTTAACTTGTCAATATTCATATCATAAACATTATGAATCGAGGCGTGAAATTCTGATATTATCTTTAGCTGGAATGCTTTATACATTGACTTATACATCTTGGTTGGGGCTAGGGACATAAAAACAAAATCCATCAAAGTTTGGAATGTTCCCAACTTTCGCATTATTTAATACTAGCTTTTACCCGCGGCTTCGCTCGCGTCACAAAAGGATAAAAAGTTGCCTATGTGACATATACCAATACATACAGCGCCATCTATACCAATACTTTTGTTTTCCCTCGGGAATATCAAATTTTTTCGGGATAAAAAGTACCCTATTATTTAGTCTAGACTACTAACTTTACGTCTGCAAAAATTCAATGCAATCGGTTTAGTAGTTACGGCGTGAAGTTGGAACAAACAAACAAACAAACTCACCTCCCGATTTATAATATTATACTAAGGATGTTGTTTGTTATTGATGTTTGCTTATGTAAATATCCTGTGTTATGTAGCTAAGAAAGCATTAGAACCAGGCTTTGAGATGTTAAAGATGTGACTGTTGTAACGAAATATAAAGGATTTTTGAACTTTGTCTTTAAAATTTACGCGGCATTGGACTTGTGCCAGATGTCATTTGTATCCATGCAGAATGTCACAGCCGAAGGAATTATAAATGATCAACAAGTTTGATCCAAGTAACTTTGATATTTTCGTCTATTTTCATAATAATGCTCTATTGTATGGGAATTATGGGAAGCTTTTGTTTTATATTACGGGCTAACCTTTAATAACAATGTCACAATACCGAAATACATATCGGAGTATTTTATTACGTGGATATTTAGGTGCTCACTGAACTAGATTATATATAATATCTGTTGTTAAAACAACTGATTTTTTCATGGAACACGTTATTAATGCAGAGGACGTCAGTTTAGTGTTTGATTTCATACTAATCCTGATCATCAGCTGAGTTTGTTTAATTTTTGACGAACATTTATATTTTTCGGCTTAGTCACGTACTTAATTATTTGACGAGAAACTCGACTAGTTTCAAGCCATGCTGGAGGCCCATATTCATGAGCAGCATTTTGCGACGCGACGAGTCTGCGGTGCGAGCCCATAATAATTAATTTAGTATGTCTCTCGAAAGTTAATATAATAATATAAATTATTTGTTGATTGATTTTAAAATGTTTTCACTGCCGTACTGGTCACAGCATTTAAGCACGTATTTTCTTGAGTTGGTTGAAAAATGGTTTTGTATCAGTTGTATATGGACTAGGTGGTTCTTCATGTTTTGTATTTAAGTATCAGTAAAATCTTTACTGTATTATAAAGAGATGAATATAATCCTTCTATTGGACACTATTGTCTATTAATTAATGTCTTGACGTCCCTTTGGACCTCATTTCTCTGGAGACAGTTGTACAAAGTACCAGAGCCCGCCATTTTCTGCGATGTTAATCTCGGAGAATTGTCTTGGCCATTGCAATGTATTGTAGTAGGTAGGTACGAAA